TCCAAATAAGGTCACATTCTGAGCTACTGGGGGTTAAGACTTCAAAATATGTATGGGGGGGCACAATTCGACCTTTAACAATTCCCCTCCTCTACTGTCTACTCAACAATGGGGTTGTGTTCTTGGAGCATGGATCTTCCTTCTCCCCCCTTCTATATATATCTGTGCTCTTTCCCTATATGTTTTTCATCAAATCTGATGGCTTTAAAATATATGCTGATGACTTGCAGATTTCTTTTTTTTTATTTTTATTTATTTATTTATTATTTTTTAATAAACTTATTTTTTATTGGTGATTTAATTTTTATTTATTTATGATAGTCACACACACAGAGAGAGAGAAAGAGAGAGAGAGGCAGAGACACAGGCAGAGGGAGAAGCAGGCTCCATGCACCGGGAGCCCGACGTGGGATTCGATCCCGGGTCTCCAGGATCGCGCCCTGGGCCAAAGGCAGGCGCTAAACCGCTGCACCACCCAGGGATCCCTATTGGTGCAGTCCCGCATCGGGCTCCCAGCATGGAGCTTGCTTCTCCCTCCTCCTGTGTCTCTGCCTCTCTCTCTCTCTATGTCTATCATAAATAAATAAATAAATATTTAAAAAAATGAGGGTCCCTCCTTCTTATGTTCCATAACCAAGCTATGGCAAATCCTAACAGTTTTGCATTCAAAATATATAGAACAGGGATCCCTGGGTGGCGCAGCGGTTTAGCGCCTGCCTTTGGCCCAGGGCGTGATCCTGGAGACCTGAGATCGAATCCCACGTCAGGCTCCCAGTGCATGGAGCCTGCTTCTCCCTCTGCCTATGTCTCTGCCTCTCTCTCTCTGTGTGTGTGACTATCATAAATAAATATTTTAAAAAATATATAGAACATATCCATTTCTCTCCACCTCTGTTGTCACATCCAAGTCCAAGCCATTACGAATCTTTTGCTAAAAGTAAATCCATAGGCCCCTATCTGGCCACTCTTCTTTACCTTCTCCAATCCACCCTCAACATCAGTGTGATCTTGATAAAGTGTACATCCTATTACGTCACTCAATAGCTTTAAATCCTTAAATGCCAATTTCTAGAATCAATTACATACTCTTTACCATGGCCCTGCCTTTTCCAATATAGTCTGGGCCCTGCCTGCCTCCATCCTTACTCTGGACCCTCTCCTCCTCTTGCTCATTATGCTCCAGCCACACTGGTCTCCTTTCAGTTTGTAGAACACTTCACACTATTTCTCACCTCAAGGCCTTTCCATACCTCACTATTTCTCTTTCTAGGAATGCTCTTCCATAGATTCTGCACACATATGGATCCTTCTCATCCTTGAGACTCCAGCTCAAATATCAAACCTTAGAGAATCTCTTCTCTGATCAAACTTTCTAAAGTGACCCCTGCCTAGTTACAGTCTATTCTGAATTTATCCTGTTTATTTATAAGCGTACTTGTGTATTATTTGTCTCCTTCTCCAATCTCCACAAGAACGTAAGCTCCTAAAGAGCAGGAATCAAGTCTGTCCTTTCCACTGTGTTTTCAGTATTTCAATACTTCATCTGAAACACAATTAACTTCTATGTGTTTAATGGATGGGTGGATGAACAAAAAAAAATGTGCCCTAGAAATCCTCTTATTCAAATCCCTGTATGCTGAGTATTCTCTTAGCAGACTATTTCCAGGAGTCTATATGAGAGATCTCTTTTTCTTAGAGACAGAGAGATACCCCCACTTTCTTGCAGCAATGGGCACATTTTGCATTTCCTTCAACATAAAGTTCAAATTCCTTCCAATCTGTCTGTAAAACTTCATTTTCCACAACTTCCTTCCCCATAATAAATTCATAGCACACTCAACTTCATACCATTACATGAAAATACTACCCATGCTTATAATGTTACCTCCTTTGGGAATGCCTTCCTTCTTCCTCCTGCTAAACATCTTTTAAGATTCCCTCTATGGGGATCCCTGGGTGGCGCAGCGGTTTGGCGCCTGCCTTTGGCCCAGGGCGCGATCCTGGAGACCCGGGATTGAATCCCACGTCGGGCTTCCGGTGCATGGAGCCTGCTTCTCCCTCTGCCTGTGTCTCTGCCTCTCTCTCTCTCTCTCTCTGTGACTATCATAAATAAATAAAAATTAAAAAAAAGCCTTTAAAAAAAAAAAAAAAAAAAAAAAGATTCCCTCTATGAAGCTTTTCCTGGTAGCCAGAGAGGCTATTACTCTGTCACGTCAGAGGCCTTCATACATAAATACCTCTACCATGTTTACTCTGATATATGACAATTCAACACCTCGATATATTACAGTGAAACACACAAATTACAAAAATAAAGATAAAATCCTGAAAGCAGCTCGGGACAAGAGGTCCTCAGATACATAAGGCTGGCAGCAGACCTGTCCACAGAGACCTAGTAGGCCAGAAGGGACTGGCATGATGTACTTAAAAGTGCTAAAAGGGAAAAATATGCAGCCATGAATACTTTATTCAGGAAGGCTGTCGTTCAGAATAGGAGAGATTGCTTCTAAGATAAATAAAAACTAAAGGAATTCATGAACACTAAAACAGCCCTGCAAGAAATATTAAAGGGTACCCTTTGAAAAGAGAGAGAGACCAAAAGTAACAAAGACCAGACAGTAATAGAGACAATCTACAGGCACATCGACTTTACAGGTAATACAATGGCACTAAATTATCTTTCTATAATTACTCTGAATATAAATGGACTAAATGCTCCAATCAAGACATAGGGTATCAGAATAGATAAAAAGCACACTCTATAAATATGCTTACAAGAGAATCATTTTAGACCCAAAAACACCTCCAAATTCAAAGTCAGGGAATGGAAAGCCATTTATCACACTAATGGACATCAAAAGAAAGTTGGAGTAGCCATCCTATCAGACAAACTGTATTTTATTTTTTATTTTATTTTTTAAAGATTTTACTTATTTGGGAAAGAGAAAGAGAGAACACAAGTGAGGGGGAAGGGCAGAGGGACAAGTGCTTGATCTCAGGACCCCAAGATCATGACGTGAACCAAAGGCAGACGCTTAACCAACTGAGCCACCCAGGTACCCCAGACAAATTAGATTTTAAACCAAAAACTGTAGTAAGAGGTGAAAAAGGACACTATACTTAATATACAATTCTATTTCCCTATTTTACTCTTACTTTGAGTAAAAGGATTATGTCTTATACTTTGCCCACTAATGCCTAGCATGGTGCCTCATAGATAGCCAGGAAAAGAATTGTTGACTACTATATATGCATATATAGTTGAAATTTTTCATTATTGTACTGCTCAGTGGAGTGAAAGGAACTGGAACATATTAACAGTTATTATTCTGTCAGCTATCTGACCATCATTAATGAACCAGTGGAAGAGGTGATTTTTAATTTGTGAAAAAGAAAACTATTTCAACTAGTTATTGCTTGGTTAATAAATCATATTTGAAAATATTCTGTTCAAAATAGACACACCAATATAGATACTCAACCTTTTCATGTCTGCTTTTCAATTTTTAAAGAAATGCTGTAAATGTTCAGGGCATAAAAGAAATAAGATGTAACAGGCATTACGAGGAAATTGTCTAGCTTGGATTTTTTTTTTAACTTTGCATAGGCATAGATAGCACTTCCTGGAACTATTTAACGTATAGTTAACTTAAACTATAGTTTGCTTTTATGGTAACCCTATTTTTGGCCAATGGTTTTTATTTTTATTTATTTATTTATTTAGGCTTTTTTTTTTTTTTTTTTTTTTTTTTTACCGTTCCTGGAAGTACTGCGATACCAGGTCGATGCGCGGAGTGGATGGAGCAAGCTCCTATTCCATCTCCCTGCTCCAAAAATCCATTTAATATATTGTCCTCGGATAGAGGACGTATCAAATATTAAACTGATAAGAACAGACACTACACTTGTTCTTAGTCAAAAGGCCGAGAAGCGATGGCAAATGTTTTTAAAGCAAGGCATAACCCTATGGTTTCCAGCCAAAGAGCTTGTGGATCAGCACCATGGACAGAGGAACGGCGTGTAAAAGGTCATTCTAAAGCAGTTTGTGCAATGACCGCTGTGATGTCAGATATACTACCGAGGAAAGACTGGTGTGAACATTCTTCTAGGGATCATTTGAAGACAGCGGCTTTGGATTTGGGTCAACTCAGAGGATAGTCTTAAGAAAATAATCACTCCTCCAAGATGTCTCCAACTAGTATGCTCTGCTTCATACTTTGGATTTATTGACCTATATTGATCCACTGTTTTTTCCACAATCTGTTCAGTTCTCAAATCACCAACATTTTCACTACAAAGTAAATGTAAACACCTAATTAGAGAATGTGGAGGACATCTGTTCTTACCTGTCCAGCATCTATGACCCTTTTCTCTTTGCAAGCCAGCTTTCAAACAAACAACTGTTTTTAAGATAGTATTAAGGAATTCTTGATGCTAATGAGAAGCGTTTGATGGTATGGAAGTTATGCTTAAACTAAGAGTCCCTGTCTTTTAGCAATACATTCTGATAGTTACACATGAAAAATGTGATGTCTGGGATTTGCTTCAAAAAATTCACAGAGTGGATAGAGGCACAGAGAAGACAAGACTGGCCATGAGTTGCTGACTGTTGAAACTGGAGGATGAGACATGATAGTTAATCCAGTTAATTCTTTTTTATCTTTAAAATTTTCCATTAAAAATATATGTATGTGGGCGTGCATGGGTGGCTCAGTAGGTTAAGGATCTGCCTTAAGTTCAGGTCATGGTCTCTGGATCCTGGGATCAAATCCCCCACCCAGCAGGGTCTGTTTCTCTCTCTCCCTCTGCCCCTTCCCCTGCTCATGCACATTCTCTCAAATAAATTCTTAAAAAATATATATATATATATATACACACACACACACACACACACACACACACACATACATTTTACTGAGAGGGAAAGGAAAGGGAGAGGGAAAGGGAAGGAAAGGAAGAAAACCTACATCTGAAGTATAATGAACAACAAACCCCAGTACCCGCTGCTCCAAGAGAAGCTCTGAGGAGGTTAGGCTATAACTTTCCCATGCAGATGAGATTTTGTCTTGTGGAAGATGTCCATGTGATGGAATAGGAAGTTCAGACGTCTATAGATGATTACTTTCTTGAGGAGCAAGATGTTTCAGGAGAGCAGTTTCGAAGAAATGAAACCTTTCATGCACTATTCCCGACAAGAAGCAGCTGAGCAGCATTGCAGGGACTGTGGCTGAGCATGGAAGGTGGTTGATGGTAGGCCCAAGGTCAGTAGTACACTAAAGTTCTAAGTTAGATCCAAAACAAAAACAAAACAAAACACTGTTCAAATATGATAGGATAGATAAGTAGAGGGAACCAAGATATAATGCCAAGCACATTAGGATGGAGAGGAGCTAAAATATGAAGAGGGTGGAGAGGTTCAAAAGGAAGACACATCTAAATACTGGGCGGGGGGGTGTCCATTGGGTAATTTTAATTGTAGCAGTCATGTCAGAAGCAAATAAAGAGCCAAAAGAGAGGCTGGGGGATAAAATAAGAAAGTGAATGTAAAAGTGCTTCAAAATCTGTGAAACTGCACACACGGCAAGAACTGCTCAGAGGCTATGGACAGTGGCTGAGGTTGAGTGCCTATAAGCACTTGCTACATGTGACAAACACAAAAAGTCCTGCTTCATTGAGCTAACTTTCTGGTGGGGGAAACAAATAAATGTATTTGCCAAGTGTGTGGATTCCACCTGCTTCATTTAGAGAGAAAATGCGGCCTCCATCTCACCGCAGTCCCCACCATCCCTTACTGTCTTACACTCTGCCTACTTCACTCATTTATGTTAATCTGCCGGAGTTCTGCAGGCTTATGAGCCATGCTCTCCAAAGTCCCTGAGCTGCTTGTGATGCCTGCCTCTCCTAAAACCACCAAATGGCCCCATGAGAACATAAAAGCACATAAAAGACCCTTTTCTTCTCTGAAACTGAATCCTGAGTTGCCACTAACCTGAAGTTACCTTGGGTGGTTACGTCACCTCACTGAGAGCTTAATGTTCTTACCTGCTGCGTGGAAGCAATCGTGTCCGGTTTACAGGACTTCTGTGAGGACTAGACATTGCCTAACCAGCTCTTACTCTTCTCTGGGATCTCATCCTTGGCAATACCTCTTCAAAGAAACCTACTCAGACCCCCTGACTAGGTCAAATCCCTCTAATATATGTGGATACTCCCACCATGTTCCTCTTCCTGGTAGTACCTGTGGGCAATTATAATTGTACCTTAGCTTATTTGATTATTTGACTAATACCTGCTCCTCCCAGCAGGCTTGGAAGTGCAAGAGTGCCACGGATCCTGCTTTTGCTCCCCACCTATCATCATGCCTGCCACAAAATAGATGCTCAAAAATTACTAAAAAGGAAAGTGAACTGCAAAGACAACCCCTGGCACATACAGGGTACCCAATAAATTCTCTCTGACCCTCCCTCACCTAATGCCTGTCACATAAACGATACTCCTAGCTTCTGGGCTGCTGGAACTTGTAAGGCTGAGTTTTAACTAAGGCTTCTGCTGAGAAAGAGAAGTCACTAAGCTCTTCTAATAGGGCCACCTACTCCTAGAACAGAGATTTTTGTTTTGCCCACTGATGTATGCTAAGCGCCTAAAACACCGCCTGGCACCTCGTCAATAAAGGGATGGATGGGTGGGCAGGCAGGCGTCACTCTTGAGTTTCACAGGGGTGAAACTTGAGTTGCGGGGTGAGGACAGCTCCTCCACAGTGGCGGGTGGAGAGGGAAGAGCGGGGACTCTGGGTCAGGGCCCCCTCTGTTCACGGTCAGCCACATCAACTTCCCGGAGAACCCCCAGATGGAGGAGTATCCCCATGCCAGCCCTGGGGTATGGGATGGAGCCGAGCACAAGCGCTCCCGCTCCCGTGGAAGAGGCAGCGAACTGCTGGGGCGCCCCCCCCATCGCCCCCGGGGGGCTGGGACCCGGCTGCCCCCGGTGCTCCCACGGTGGAGGACAGACGGGCCGCCCCGCGCCGCCCGTGGGGGCTGGGACCCGGCTGCCCCCGGTGCTCCCACGGTGGAGGACAGACGGGCCGCCCCGCGCCGCCCGTGGGGGCTGGGACCCGGCTGCCCCCGGTGCTCCCACGGTGGAGGACAGACGGGCCACCCCGCGCCGCCCGTGGGGGCTGGGACCCGGCTGCCCCCGGTGCTCCCACGGTGGAGGACAGACGGGCCACCCCGCGCCGCCCGTGGGGGCTGGGACCCGGCTGCCCCCGGTGCTCCCACGGTGGAGGACAGACGGGCCGCCCCGCGCCGCCCGTGGGGGCTGGGACCCGGCTGCCCCCGGTGCTCCCACGGTGGAGGGCAGACGGGCCGCCCCGCGCCGCCCGTGGGGGCTGGGACCCGGCTGCCCCCGGTGCTCCCACGGTGGAGGACAGACGGGCCGCCCGTGGGGGCTGGGACCCGGCTGCCCCAGGTGCTCCCACGGTGGAGGACAGACGGGCCGCCCCGCGCCGCCCGTGGGGGCTGGGACCCGGCTGCCCCAGGTGCTCCCACGGTGGAGGACAGACGGGCCGCCCCGCGCCGCCCGTGGGGGCTGGGACCCGGCTGCCCCAGGTGCTCCCACGGTGGAGGACAGACGGGCCGCCCGTGGGGGCTGGGACCCGGCTGCCCCAGGTGCTCCCACGGTGGAGGACCGACGGTGGCCCAGATGCTCCCGCACGGGGGGGGGGCGGGGGGGGCCGCGGGGCCGAGCCCTCAGCTAGGACCGCAGCCCGGCGACCCGCGCCGCTCGCAGAGGATGCTCGGGACCCCTCCGCCAGGCAAAGGAGTCCCCGCTCCCTCTCCCTTCTCCGCTGTAGAAAGGCCTTTGCGCCGCCTCCCCAGCGGTGCTCCTTCGCCTCAGAGACGTCTCCCCGCCTCCCAGAGCCCGCGGCCGAGGGCAGCCTCCCACTCTCCTTTTCCACACTCTTCCATCTTCTCCCGCAAAATGTCCGCTCCGCCCGCTCGCCCCCGGCTGTGTCCCTCCGCCCCCTCCCCGCTTCTCAAGTCCCCCGGCGGCGAGTGGCCGCGCCGCGCCGCGCGCTCTCGCGAGAGTCCGCCACACGGAAGCCCCTCGCCCGCGAGGAGGCCTCCCGGGACCCCGCGGCGCGCGGTCGCGGGCGGCGCATGCGTGGCGGCGGCTCCCAGCGCCCCCCGCGCAGCCAGCGGGCGGAGCGGACCGGGCTGCGCGCGCGCGCGGGGCCGACCGCCTTCCCCTGCGAGGCCTCGCTGGGTCCCCGTGGCCGGGCTGCCCTCGGGGGCGGTACCGCCTGGCGGCTCCCGTCGGCGTGCGGAGGTGTCCGAGGACGGACGGCCCGGACCGCCCTGGCCCCGGAAGAGCCTGGCGCCGGCCTCGGAGCCGCGGGCCCGACCGGCCACCCGCAGCGGCCTGGACGCGCCGCCGGGGCCGAGCCTCGCACCCCGCAGCCCGCAGCCCGCAGCCCGCAGCCCGCAGCCCGGGCGGGGCCTGCACGCCCGGCCCCACCCACCCGGGGCCTCGCCTCCCCGGAGCCCAGCCCCCTCCCGGCCCGGCTGTCCAGCCCCCGCCCACCGCTTCTTTTCAGTCCCCTTGAAATTTCTCCCGGTCCCCTGGCCTCGGTCTTGCGGACACTGCACTAAAAGAGATGCACCCCGGAACAGCACACCTGGTTCGGAGAAGACGCCGGGTCTGGGACCTCAGGGTGCACATCCTCCTCTTCCAGCGCCCGGGGTAGATCTGACGATGAACGAGCCCCGAGTGCCCGGCTCCGGCTGACACTGCCGTTCCGCACTTCCCTGCCCTCCCAGCCTCGCTTCCGACGTCAGTAAGCAGCGAGCTCCGGGAGGTTTAGGTTTATCTGGCTCTACTTTGAGCTAGGCGCGAGGCTGACCTCCCCACCCCCGGGTTGGAGCATGGCTGCGTCCCTGGACCCTCAGATCGACGTCCCCCTGGAGGTGGAGGGATGCTTAGTAATGAAGGTGGAGAAGGAGCCCGAGTGGGCGGTGGAGCCCTCTCTGGAAGCGTCGGAGGGCTCCGAGTCCGAGACCTTCCGCAGATGCTTCAGGCAGTTCTGTTACGAGGATGTGGCTGGACCCCATGAAGCTTTCAGTAAACTCTGGGAACTTTGCTGCCGGTGGCTGAAGCCCGAAGTGCGTTCCAAGGAGCAGATCCTTGAGCTGCTGGTGATCGAACAGTTTCTCACCATTTTACCGAAGAAGATTCAGGCGTGGGCGCAGAAGCAGTGTCCGGAGAGTGGAGAGGAGGCGGTGGCCCTGGTGATACATTTGGAGAAAGAGGCTGGAAGGCTAAGACAGCAGGTGAGAGCGGACTTCTTTTTTTTTTTTTTTTTTTTCCTCCAGATTGTTGTATTTAGAAAGAAGGGGACGCATGAGAGACTCCTAACTCTGGGAAACGAACAAGGAAGGGGAGGTAGGCAGGGGGGGTTGGGGTGACTGGGTGATGGGCACTGAGGGGGGCACTTGGCGGGATGAGCACTGGGTGTGATGCTATATGGTGGCAAATCCAACTCCAATAAAAAAAATTGAAAGAAGGAAAGAAAGAAAAAAAGAAAAGGACAGGTAAGGCGGGGCGGGGCAGGGATGCCTTGCAGATCGGGCTTGCTATGGAGGGAGAAGTGGTACTAGTGAGAGACCTTTAAAGTGAATCTACTTAAAAGAGGGTCAGAATTTCATATTAAATAGAAAGATTTTTAAAAAAGAACCCTTGCTTGAAATATTATTTTGCAAATGAAGCTAGACATTATGCGTCACAATATTTAAGTCTCTGGCGTGTTTCTCAGAAATTATGTGAGAGAACAATACATTATGCTTTTCAGGGTTGCGTTGGACTTTTGCAGCCTGATCCTAAAGAGGGCCGTTTACTCGAGGAAAGAACCACAGAACTTCATCAGTTATCCCAGGGCCCTCTCTAGTCCTTTAATATTCCAATGTGTGTCTTCTGAAGTGCCCTGGATGCCATCATCCTTGTCACTCTTCTCTGGTTTAACCACCGGCTCCTCATTTGTCAGTGGCATTTCATGGTCTTCTGGTTGTTTTCAACAGCCCTTTCATTAACCTCATAAAATCCTGCAAGATTTGCAGTTTCACCTTGCACGGGATTTGCATTCGTATAAAGACCTGACTGTCAGCAGGCTGCTGTGTTGGTCAGGGATAGACGCGACATGTGGAGATTAATTTTATGTTTTCAGTTCAGTAGTGAATGTATCTCACTAATCTGTGAACCTTAATAGATGTGAGCACTCAACGTCTATTTTTTTTTATTTATTTATGATAGTCACACAGAGAGAGAGAGAGAGGCAGAGACACAGGCAGAGGGAGAAGCAGGCTCCATGCACCGGGAGCCTGACCTGGGATTCGATCCCGGGTCTCCAGGATCGCGCCCTGGGCCAAAGGCAGGCGCTAAACTGCTGCGCCACCCAGGGATCCCCTCAACGTCTATTTTTTAAAAAAGATTTTATGTATTCATTCGTAAGAGACATAGGCAGAGGGAGAAGCAGGCTCCCTGTGGGGAGCCTGATGCAGAACTCGAACCCAGGACCCAGGGATCATGCCCTGAGCTGAAGGTAGACGCTCAGCCACTGAGCCACCTGGGTGTCCCTCAGTATCTATTCTAATAATAAGGAGGCTCTGTATTTTACTCCTGATGGATTTTTCCTTCTCTGTATGCTAAGAAAGAGCACTGTCTTTTTTCCTTATACCTAGACTTCTGGACGGTACTATTTCTCCAATGCCCTTGGGGACTCCGTTGGGAATGGAGTGAAATTTTCATTCCTTCCCACATCTTCTGTCCTTCTCTGATATCTTTCTGGGGGGACTTTGGCCCTCATTGGGCCCTGTTTTCCTCCGTCTTTCCATTACAGCACTAGCTTTTATTTCCCAGGTTAACAGCCCTGTGCACTCAGAGAAGCAGGCCCCACTGGGAGCAGCGTGGGAGGTAACGGACTTTCAGCCAGAGCAGGTGGAGACCACTGGAGTGGTGTCTCTGGAGGAAGCTGGAAGCCTCCACTCAGGACACAAGGAGCAACTGAACCGAAAGAGAGAGCATCGGCCCTTACCCAAGAATGGTAAGAAGAACTCAGAGCATGCCCAGTGCAGAGACCATGGCAGATGTATTTTGTAACCCTAACACTGTGACTTACTCAGATAGGATCCCCTCAATACCTTTTTGAAAATAAATTGAATATTTGGGGAGAAAGACTTCTTTAGCTTCAAGAGGTGGGAAGATGCACAGCATAAGTAAAAGGCATATCTTAAAAATGGACTCTGGGAAAAACTGAGCTTGTCCAGACTGGCCTCAAGGACTTGCCGTGAAATGTAAGAATCTCCCAGTCTGTAACCAGCTTGAATTTTTCTGTCCTGCCATGTATATATGTGTATGTGTTCTTGGCTGACTAATAAACAACTTTAAAGACTGTGTGGAAAGGGAAACAAGATACTTACTTTTAAAAATTGACTCACAAGTAAGGCATCACAGAAGTAGCGTATGAGAACAATAAAGAATAAGATTTCATAGAGGAAGGAGCACAGGCTCCCTAGCTGCCCTGGACATTAATAAGTCAAGTAGGAGGAAATTGAACACCCTGTCTTTCCCGGTCCACTGTGATGTCTCCATTCCAGCAGTCTGGTATCAGGCTGAGAGGAATGGAAAGATCATTGAACTTACAGTGGAAGGCTTGGGTTTTATACCTTCTTGTCTCTGCCCCTCTGTCTGTCCGACCTAGGGCAAGTAATATGGGAAGGAGCATTGATGCACAGAGGTTAAGCGATGAGGCTTTAGGGGCAGACAACCCAGACACAAAACCTAGGTCTGCCATCCTTTATCTGTGCAGCCTTGGTCAGGTTACCTAACTTCTCAAACTTTCCATTCTGTCAATTGTAAAAGGAAAGCAATAAGACTGTTAGTGTGGATTGAAGGAGGCAGCATAAATGGACCAATCAATACATTGGTGGTCAGTAAATGTTAGTTCCCTTTCTCCAATAATGGTACAATTATTTCTAAACTCCAAATATCAGACAGATTTTACACAACCCCTCACCAAGTAGTAAGATTCACTGCTATGTACCCAAACTCCTTATCTTTCCTGAAATTCATGTTGTGATAGAATTCATTGCAAATAATAATGTTTTCTGAATTTCGAGGTTCACATAGATCACATGCTCTCAGTTACTTTAGCCGATAAGCTTAGTCCAGTAAATTTATAGTGTGTTTGGATTTTGCCACCCCAGGGTGATAAGGAACTCACAAAGTGGAAAAGTATGTTCTGCTGAGGTACTTACCAGGAGGGTGCCACTGTGCCCGTGCCACTCTCCCCACTTGAATGCACACTGCCTCTAATAGCTCTCTGAGAAACACACACTGAACAGTATCTTTGCTTTTCACCATTTTTTTTTTTTTGTAAAAATGAAAATCCTTTTTTGGATTTCTTTCAGTTAGCAAAAATAGGTACTGATGTCAATGTCTTTTTTTTTAATTTTTATTTATTTATGATAGTCACACACAGAGAGAGAGAGAGAGAGAGAGAGAGAGAGAGAGCCAGAGACATAGGCAGAGGGAGAAGCAGGCTCCATGCATCGGGATCCTGACGTAGGATTCGATCCTGGGTCTCCAGGATCGCGCCCTGGGCGGAAGGCAGGCGCCAAACCGCTGCGCCACCCAGGGATCCCTGATGTCAATGTCTTTTGCAAAAAAACAAAGTGGCATCACATGAACTTTCAAGAAGCAGGGGATATCTGTATTATGTTTCCAAGGAAATGATTCAGTTTGCTTCTTTGGAAAGTAGTGGAGCAATATTTTGAGTTCTTTTTTTTTTTTTTTTAAGATTTTATTTATTCACGAGAGACACAGAGAGAGAGGCAGAGACATAGGAGAAGCATGCTCCCTGCAGAGAGCCCAATGCAGGACTCAATTCCAGGACCCAAGGATCATGACCTGAGCCCAAGGCAAAAGCTCAACCACTGAGCCACCCAGGTGCCCCAAGCTTTTGAGTTCTTGATCACAGTAATATTCATTCTGCAAGTTTTCCCTAGACAGTGAGTTCCAGAGTTGCTTTGTGAATGTTTATATATGTTCCTCCTGGTTTTTAAGGGAGTGTACTGTGTATTTGCCTGTCACGTCCAGGACTATGTATCTATGTATGTATGTATGCTAACTTCTTTATCATATGAAAGCATTGCTTAACTTATGCTAGAGATTGCAAACTGGTAACTCACATGCCACGTCAGACTTGTTGTGTTTCACCTACAAGGAGTTTTTGGTTTGGGGATTTTATTTGTTCGTTTTCAGTTCTCAAGGTTAAAAATTTTTGAGATTTTATACAAAAGTCCAGATTTCTGGCTTCTCCTGAAAAAAATTAGAAGCTCTCACTATCCCAGGCCCACTGCTGCCCACTGGAAGTGGGCATGAGCTGTATGTCCTTTCAGTGGTGTGTGTGCTGTCCAGTTCCCCCATTCCTCACCTGGGCCCTTTCACAAGGCACTTTGTCTGCTAACTCCCTGAGATCACTCACATTTGTGAGCCTGGCTTCAGGGTACCATGGTTTCGAATATTGTTCTGAACTCATTAATGAAATGACCAATTTATATTTGCTGTCTTTTTTTTTAATATATGTTCATTTCTTTTTTTTTAATTTTTCTTTATTTATGATAGTCACACAGAATGAGAGAGAGAGAGGCAGAGACATAGGCAGAGGGAGAAGCAGGCTCCATGCACTGGGAGCCCGACATGGGATTCGATCCCGGGTCTCCAGGATCGCGCCCTGGGCCAAAGGCAGGCGCCAAACCTCTGCGCCACCCAGGGATCCCTATATGTTCGTTTCTTAAAAGGAGAAGCTGCATGAATTAAAGGGCCTAGAACCTTGAGTATTCCTTTCTCTTTTTGCAGCTCAGCCTTCTCCCTGGGTTCCTGCCCCTGCTCACGAATGGAGCAGCATGGATCAGGAAGTAACAACCACACGACAACCTGTTGTGTCTCAGGTACGTGGTAAATCTTCTCTCTGCCTTCCCTAGGGTATTCGGTCCCATGAATTTCCTGTGCCTTCACTGTCCTCAGACTTTTACACTGTTCCCCCCTGACTCCTTTTGCAGAGAAGACTGGACCCAGTCTTCTGATTAATGAGACTCCTTGCTGGATCATCTCTCTTATGATCCTTTATAATATCTTCTGCTTCATTTGGCACATCATACACACTTGGTTCCCTGATTTTAATTCTTCTCTGGGGCCTTTCTGTGTTTCCTCCATGATCATTCATCCTTTGAAAACCCATGTGGTTATCTTGGTAGTCATTGCTGTTAGTGTTGTTACAGGGACCAGTGAAAGATGTCCACATGGCGAGAGGTTTTTCCTACAAAAAGAGCGTACATCAGATTCCCGCTCACAGAGACCTGTACCGGGATATTAGGAAAGAGAGTGTTGGGAACATGGTCTCCCTGGGTAAGGATTCTTTCCCTTTTCACATAAAAGATTTGGGGATTTTTGATATCTTTATTTCTATTGATTATACATTAGTTAAAAGTGTCAACACCTAAAGGACATCCTTGGGTTATCTAGTCATTTCTGTGGCCAGCTCACCAGACCTAGTAATCAATTGTCCCTGTACTCTTCCCCACTCCTTCCTCTCTTCCAGTTCAAAATAGATACACATTCTTCTAACTTAAGGATGAAAACATTGGTAAGGTATTATATACAACTGTCATATCCTTACTACTTAAATATAAGCTTATACATACTCACTAGACTAAAAGCTTTATTAAGTCACAAGGTCTCTTTATGATTTGTTCTTGTTTAACTGCAGTAACCCAACACTTTGCATACAGTTGGACCCATGGGTGAGTGGCCAGAAAATAATTGTTGGATGGATGGAAATCTTACAGATGGAAGGAAAAAAGTAATATCAATACAATAACCTCGGTGGTATGTTGTGAATTATTTAAATAGCGTAAATTTACAGGCACACATAACAACTGAAGTGTCACTTTAGAAGCAAACGTCTGAAAAAAAAAATAGAAGCAAACGTCTGAAGGATTTGTCACCTGTGTTAGTAGTAGGCATAGGGGATCCCTGGGTGGCTCAGCGGTTTGGCGCCTGCCTTTGGCCCAGGGTGCGATCCTGGAGTACCGGGATCGAGTCCCGTGTCGGGCTCCCGGCATGGAGCCTGCTTCTCCCTCCTCCTGTGTCTCTGCCCCTCCCTCCCTTCCTCCCTCCCTCTCTCTCTCTCTCTCTCTCTCTCTCTCTCTCTCTCTCTCTCATTCGGTCTATCATAAGTAAATAAATAAATAAATCTTTAAAAAAAAAAAGGTAGTAGGCATAATAAGTACAGTTTGTTCATACATAACCAAAAAATCAAAGACTGCTTATTAATAAAATTACAGGCCTAAAATGTGTACTAGCCCATACTAGAGAGGCTGTAGACGTGTGCTAATAGGGTAGCCACCAGCCACATAGGGCTATTTAAATTTATAGAATTAATTAAAATGAAATCGTTAAAAATTAAGTTCCTCAGTGGCCATAGCCACCACCAGAATATTTATTTATTTATTTTTTATAATGTTATGTTTCTTCTATCTTTTTTTTTAAGATTTTATTTATGATATGGTGGTGCAGAGGGAGAAGCAGGCTCCATGCAGGGAGCTGGGTGTGGAACTCCATCCCGGGTCTCCAGGATCACACCCCGGGCTGAAGGCGGCACTAAACCGCTGGGCCACTGGGGCTGCCCACCACCAGAATATTTAAAAGCTGTTTGGGTCAGCGCAATTATAGAACATTACTGTCATCACAGAAAGTTCTGTTGGACAACACTACATGTAGCTTCTAAAGTTTAGAGATTATAAAACAGGCTATACCAAACTCAGTGAATAAAGATATACCAACGGCTGTTTATAATTAGAAAGCAATTAAAGCAACTGAAAGAAATGACCAGAGTAGGGTAGCACTGATGACACAGAGATAGCAAGGCAGTCCTCCCAGAGCAGTAGGCATCCCAGCTGTCTGCCTGGGTTTGCACATGCAGGTATTTCCTACTGCAACCTCAGCTCACATGGTGTCCAGACATGGCATGCTGCATGAGAGTCCTGAGTAAAATGTGCCACTAGTGGGATGGGGATCATCTTCCAAGAATTCAGATTTAGCCCAGTACCTTCATATGTACAGGTGACCCTTAAACAAGATGGTTTGAACTGCGCAGGTCCACTTCTACATGGATTTTTTTTTCAATAAATACTGTGAATATGTTTTCTCTTCCTTAGGATTTTCTTAATAATATTTTCTTTTCTCTAACTTATTTTATTAAGGAACTACAGTATGTAATATATATAATATACAAAACACGTGTTAATCGACTATGTTATCAGCAAGGCTTCTGGTCAGCAGTAGGCTATTAGTTAAGTTTTGGGAGAGTCAAAAGTTACACATGGATTTCAACTATGGGGTTGGTTCCCCTAACCTCTACTTTAAGAGTCAACTATGATTACAGTGGAAGGACCCAAGTCCAAAAACACTTGCCCCAGTCTTTTATCATATATTGTAAATGAATGGCTTATAGGCTGATTCTAGCCTATACACATATTTTGGCTTTGCACAGAGTTTTAATTTAATATTAGTTTGTAAATCCAGATTTTCTGTATCTCTTCAAAAGTCAAATATCAGCACAGGCCCACCTTCTCACATACAGCAATTGGCCAGAGCCAGATCAAGGAGCTCATGCTGAACTGCCATATTTTTCACTCATTTGCACTGCCTGCCTGGTACTTATAGATATTTGAGCTTTCATTAACCCTACGCTTAACTCTCTCATATAAAAATAAAGAGCAAATCTCTATCCCCATGGTTCTTTCAGAAAGGATTTGATGTGATGCTCCTTCTCTCGAGAATTCTGTGAAGTTTCTGTGTGTAGTATCCAGAGAAGAAACCAAATTTTATTACATCCCTATTGGGCATTGAGATCAGACAATTATTTATATAATATTCCCAGCATTTCTGTGAACAGAGGCCAGCATTCCCTAGGAAACTGAAACTCCGAGATTAAGAAACTTTCCCCTGGTCCAAAAGGAAAGCAGGGTTTACTGAGGTCAGGGTTCACAATTAAGACATGTTGATCTCCACAGTGCTGTAACGCAACAAACTATTGATGTGCTTCCCTGTCCTTACATCTCTTTCCTATTAACCTTGCCAGATGTATCCCAAAATTCTTGACTTATCCCTCCTAGCCCCAGAGTGTGTGTGTGTATTGGGGTGGGAGTATGTGGAGAGCAGATATAAGCACACTTGATTTTATAATTTTATAAGTAACAAATGCTAGTTAGGAGTAAACACTGAACCCAAAACAATGAGAGACACTGAGAGGGAATCAAAGTTAATAAAATATATGTTTTTTACCATTAAAGGTTTTTCCTTAACAGCTAGCTGGAGAAAGAAGTGGTACATATGTGAGAAGTAAAATGGGAATATAAGCTAGTAGGTGATTGTGCCAAAGAAGAGAGATATAAGGAAAACTATAACTATACAATAGGTAGTAAGAATTACCATGCTGTGCACTGTCATGGCTGAGGAAGGCTCTAGAAGTGAGGGGGATTGGACAAGACCTTTCAAGGATAGGTGTGAACATGTCCAGGAGGGCATACTGCAGCAGCAGATCAGGGCGTGCAGCTTTGACCTCTGGGTTTACCATGGAATGTGTTTCTCTTCCTGTAGGAAGTACTGCATCTGCATCTAGCAATATTGCCCGATTGGAGCAAAGAAAAGAGCCATGGACTTTAGGTCTACACTCTTCTAACAAAAGGAATGTTATTCTACGAAGCAACCACATCAAGGAGAAGCCAGTTCATGCCACTCAGATCCCTGCACGAAGTGCGGGGAGAGTGTGGGGCGAGCAGCAGCACTGGGGTTTAGAAGACGAGAAGATAGCAGGCGTGCATTGGAGCTATGAGGAAACAAAGACTTTCCTTGCCATTCTCAAGGAGTCTCGCTTTTATGAGACACTACAGGCTTGTCCCCGAAACAGCCAGGTGTATGGGGCTGTAGCCGAGTGGCTGCGTGAGTGTGGCTTTCTCCGAACACCGGAACAGTGTCGGACCAAGTTCAAAAGCCTCCAGAAGAGCTATCGGAAGGTGAGAAATGGCCACGTGTTGGAACCCTGTGCCTTCTTTGAGGACATGGACGCTCTGTTGAACCCCGCAGCCCATGCTTCATCTGCTGATAAGCCAAAGGAGATTCTCTCTCTCCCCAGACTAAAGAGAGTTGATATCAGTGCTAAAGAACAGATCAATTTGGTGGAGGAAGAAGATGCCGCAGAAGAATCTGATGGTGATGAAATAGGCATTGAATTTATCCGGAAGTCTGAGATTCGTGGTACCCCTGTCTTGTTTCAGAACCTCAGTGGTAAGAATTGTGCTCTTTCCTTTGGGTATGAAAATGGATGATAGGGGCTTGTGGTAAAAAGAGTAGATGGGAGGCAGCCAAACCAGGAGAGTGCTGTCGTGAGCACCTTGCCACTAATCACTGAACGTACTATCTGGTGTTTTTTGCTGCCCTGGGACAGTCTGAGTAATGGCCATGGAGGTTCTTTCTCAGGCTAAAGCACAGCATGGATTTGAGTATTTGGAGCCTATAGAAAGATGATAGAGGGGATCCCTGGGTGGCTCAGTGGTTTGGCGCCTGCCTTTGGCCCGGGGCACGATCCTGGGGTCCCGGGATCGAGTCCCGCGTTGGGCTCCTGGCATGGAGCCTGCTTCTCCCTCCTCCTGTGTCTCTGCCTCTCTCTCTCTCTCTCTGTGTCTATCATAAATAATAAATAAATAAATATTTTTAAAAAAGAAAGATGATAGAGTCAAAGGACTGGGGAGCCCACATCTGAGGACTGGTATAAAGCAACCAGTTGTATTGAATTATAATAAGTTGTGTTGAGTTATATATAATAAGTCAGTTGTGTTGGGTTCTAGTAAGTCGAAGATACATTTTTATACACTCTAGGGTAACCAGTTGAAGAACATATAACTAACTAGAGTAAAAAAAACTGTAATTGTAGAAGAAGACAAGAAAGGAGAGAAAAAGGAACACAGAGTAGATTATTCCAATGGAAAACACAGGAAGATAGTAGACATAAATCCAAATATATCATTAATTACAAACTTAAGAGACTAAGATTGTCAGTCATTTAAAAAAAACACTCCTTACAAGAGATGCATGTGAAGTGTAAGATGCAGAGACCTTGAAATTAAAAGGTAGAGAAGATATACTATATACCATGTAAACAAAAGCTGGTGTTGAAACTGGGGACATGCAGAACTAACCCGGTAGTTAATGATTGGGTGACAGTAGACACACTGTATAAGTACTTTGAGCTTCGGTTTTCTCAGCAATAAAACATGACCCAGGATTCTGGGATCCTTAGTGTTAAATGAGGTGGTAGGTAAAAATGGAGGAAGGCATTCTGCAGATGTTAAACACAGATATCTCCATTTTTCGTGATGTGCATGATAAAAAAAAGACAGGCAGAGGCAAAATAAGAGAGAGACTTTATTCTGGTTAAATGCAATGAGACATAGCTAGGTGTCACTATTATTAGGAAAGTTTCTCCACTCTGCCTTATGAAAAAGATGCCTGGGTGGCTCAGTTAGGCGTCTGTTTTAGGCTCAAGTCATGATCTCAGGATCCTGGGATTGAACCCTGCATCCTGCTCCCTGCTCAGTGAGGAGTCTGCTTCTCCCTCTACCTCTGCCTACCCCTTCCCCTGCTCATGCTTATGCTCTCTCTCAATTACATAAATAAATAAATAAATTCTTTTTAAAAGAAGATGGTAAGTTCTTAGAGTGGAAAAATCAGGCTAGGAGAGTTGGGGGTACACTCATGACTACATTCAAAAGAGCTCAGAAAAACACGGAGAAGATGCATCATACTTGTACAGGTGCTCCCCAATCTGGAAATCCGTAGACACAAGGGCAGACCCAAACATGGGAATGCAGTGCTATCCTGGAGGAGATCACCAGGCAAGACTGAGGATAGAAGTGATTTCTTCATACTCACAAACTGTATTCAGACATGTCCTGAGAAGTTTGATTCTCCCATAGAAGCAGAACATCTGCTCATTCTTGTGAGTCGTTTCATCTCTCACAGTAGAGGACTCAGTGACATCAAAAATGACTCTGGATTAGTTCTCCTCTTCAAGGAAGACTGACTTAACAAGTGTCCTCCTCTGTTTTAACCATTTTGAAAAGATAGTTGTATCCTTACTTAATCGCCATAGCAATGGCAGATCTGAGGGACTACATTCCTACTCTACCAAATAAACTTTGAGACCAGTTTAACAATTTCAATTTAAAAATCCTATTGGGAAAAAAAATAAAATAAAAAATAAAAAAAATAAAAATCCTATTGGGATTTTGACTTCATAGATTCATCTGATAATTGATACCTGTACAACTTGAGTCTTACTATTCAGAAACATAGCGCCTCTCTGTGTCTTCTAGTTCCTTGATGACTTTCAATAAATTACAGATTTTTTTCTCTCATTTTTTGCATATCTTCTCCCCCAGCATATCATAGTTCCTGTTGCCACTATGAATGGGTTTTCTTTTACCCCTTATGTTTAGAGGCTGCAGACTCTTTTTCTTATATCTTTGAATTTTATCCTTCCATGGCAGGTGTACACTGGGGGTATGAAGAAACCAAGACTTTTCTTGATATCCTCCGTGAGACTCGGTTTTACGAAGCTCTCCAGGCTTGCCATCGGAAGAGCAAGTTGTATGGGGCTGTGGCTGAGCAACTGCGTGAGTGTGGCTTTCTCCGGACACCGGAACAGTGCCGGACCAAGTTCAAAAGCCTCCAGAAGAGCTACCGCAAAGTAAAAAATGGTCACGTGCTAGAGTCCTGCGCGTTCTACAAGGAGATGGATGCCCTGATAAACTCTCGGGCCTCTGCTCCTTCCACCAACACCCCAGAAGAAGTCCCATCACCCTCAGGGCAAGAGGGAGAGGATATTGAGATTGAACCCCAGGAACCAATAGGCTGGGAACCGGAGGAGGCCTCACAAGAGGCGATGGCTGAAGATTCTGGCAGCGAGAGAATGAGTGAGGAGGAAATTGTACAAGAGTCAGCATTCCAGGGGCCTCCAGGTCTACTGCCAAGCCCAAGTGGTAAGGACCATCAAGGGGGAAGTGTGATTTACTGCAAAATCACTAACTGAGCGTATAGCTCATGAGTATGTATTCATTAAGCAGACATTGAGGATCCTGTGCTGTGTGAGAAACGGGGGACCTAGCAATGAACGAACAAAACAAAGTGTCTTTCTCCTGGTGCTTCTATTCAAAGAATTCTAGTGATTCAGACTTTTGGATCTCAGCCTTGGTTTTTGTCTTATTTGGGTCAGTGTTTCATGTCACCTGAAAATACTATGGGGAAGAAGAACTTGCAGAAAAAGTCAGAGAAAGAGGTGTGTCCATAGGCTCAGAACACAAAAGTCTCAGTCCTTTGTGACATGACTGAGAAAAAGGACAGGCAGAGGCAAGATTAGAGAGAGACTTGACTCTGGTTCCCCGCCCCACCAGCATGTTTCCCATGGACTGCTGGCACCCTCGTGGGCATCAGTTCCAGACTTCAAACTTTCAAGACTAAAATCACTGTCTTCCTTCCTGCATCTTAGCTCTTCCCTGTGTCCTCCCACATCCTGACCTAAAACTTCAGAGACATTTTTGGTGCTTTCTCTCTCATGATTTACATCCAAGCAGATACTTTCTTTCTGCCTGTTGTAGAACATCTGGACAGATCCCCTCTTTAGTTAACACAGCTACCAGCTGTGGTAGGAAAGTCTCAACCTTTCTCTGCTTCTTGCCAAGACTTTTGTAATAGACCCCAATCCAGGTTTCCTCATCAGGCTTGTGTTAAGATTCCACAGCCATCCTATCTTTCTGTCCTTTCCTTTCAGCATACTCTGCTCATTCAAAACAAAGGCTAGAGAAGGGGCATCCATGTGCTTTTTGCTAATGTCTATACAGGAAATTATAATTTGAAGGCTGAAATCATTAAGTCTTACATAACCCAGGGTTTGGTTACTGGAAACAAAGTCCTTTGGTACCATCCCTTGTGAGTCTCATTTTTTAAATCGAGCTGCAGACCTGTTGCTAAATCGTCAGACTCTGAGCCAACCATGAGGCTGTGACTTCCTCCAAACCCCAGGACAATGTTGGACCCAATGAGAACGCTTCAAAAGAACGGCTAAATGAAAGATGACATTGTTAGGGCTTGCACTTAACTTAATGGACTGATTGATGGCTGCCTTCCTCTCCCCGACCCATCCTACAACCCCCACCCCCACTTGGGACAGAGAGATATAAGCAATCTCAACTCAATGTCTGCAAGGACAGGGATGTTCAAACTGGCAAGTAGAAACAAGGCAGCATAGTAGAATGCTGAAGAACAGAGGTTTGGGGATCAAACAAACCTGGGTGAAATAATACAGTCTCTAGAATTTGATTCAAAACAATCTGGGTAGAGGGAGCAGAAAGCAGGTGGGAATAGAAGGGAAACTAGATTGGCCATGAGTAGATCATCATTAAAGCTGGGTGAGTGGCTCATGGAAATTCATTTTACATACTATAGTCTCTACTTTTCTGTGTGTTTGAATTTTCCATAATAAAAAAGTTCAAAGCCACACAGTTAATAAGGAATCAAGATGGAATCAGAACCAGAGCAGTATGATTCCAAAGCCTGTGTCTTTTCACCACATCATACTGTGTGTCCAGAAGACCTCCTGGAAAAGCTGGCAGCAAGATGCACCTTGCAGTGAATGTGGGACATAGACAACAGGGTGAAAGGGAGGTAATTCCAGTATGAGGAATGATGAGAATTAAGATTTGAATTTGTGTGGTCTATGTGTGAGACAGCTGGAAAAAAACAGTGACAAGAACATTTGAAGAGAAGGAAGAAATAGCCTTGGGTAGGGTATGATTAGATATCAGTGAACTTGGAAGTCCATTGAGGAATTGAAACCTGATCACTGGAATCTGCTCTGAACACTAGCGCAGTGTGTTTTAGCACAGATGTGAAATTTTGAAAGCAGGATGGGTGGGAGTAGAACCTCAAGGAGAACGCTAAGTTGGTTCCCTGTTAACTCAGGATATGGGTGGAGAATAACAACTTCGATTTCAATTCAGGAAACATTTCAGAAGGCCTACTTCATACTAGGTGTTACTGGCTGCTCGTGGAACTGAATAAAAATAAGGCATAATGAATCAGAGAAGGGTAATTGGACCCAAGAGGCCAGAGAAGTATGCAGGGATCCTAACAAAGCCCCATAGGCCATGCTCTATATGTTAATACAGGACTGGTCTGAAATTACAATCACTTTTTTTTTTTTTTTCAGATTTCGAAATTGGAGGTAGTTTCAAGGAGGACACAACACAGGTAATATATAAGGACATGGAGCAGCATAGGGCATTAATAGAAAAGTCTAAAAGGGTCATTTCCCAGAATGCTGATCCAGGTAAATACAGCAAAAGGGAATACATCTCAGGAAGACAATGGGAAAACTTTCAAGGAATCAGACAGGGGAAGCTGATGTCTCAGCCTAGAGATTTAGGGAAAGCTGTAGTGCATCTGAGGCCTTTCATGGGGAAGAGACCCTACCGACTTCTCAAATATGGAGAAAGCTTTGGAAGGAATGCTCGTCTTATGTGCCGAATGACCCACCAGAAGGAAAATCCTTATAAATGCAGTGTCTGCGGAAAGTGCTTTGGTAGAAGCAGAAGCCTAATCAGACATCAAAGAATCCACACTGGAGAAAAACCCTTTAAATGTCTTGACTGTGGGAAAAGCTTTAATGACTCCTCCAACTTTGGTGCCCACCAGAGAATCCACACAGGGGAGAAGCCCTACAGGTGTGGAGAATGTGGAAAATGCTTTAGTCAGAGCTCGAGTCTTATCATACATCAGAGAACCCACACTGGAGAGAAGCCCTATCAGTGTGGGGAGTGCGGGAAGAGCTTTACCAACAGCTCCCATTTCAGCGCCCACCGCAGGGTTCACACTGGCGAGAACCCCTACAAATGTGTGGATTGTGAAAAAAGTTTCAATAACTGCACACGATTTCGAGAGCATCGGAGGATCCACACTGGAGAGAAGCCCTACGGCTGTGCCCAGTGTGGCAAACGTTTCAGTAAGAGTTCTGTCCTCACCAAACATCGGGAGGTTCATTCAAGGGAAAAGCTTCTGCCGCACCCACCATCCTCATGTTCCCCAGAGAACCTGCCTAAGGGAAAGACTGATGAATTCAGGAAAACTTTTTGACGTTGACCTCTTCTCCTCCTACGTGCCCCCATTAGCCATTTTACCCCAGCCTCACCGTTAGAAGCAATCTTTTCTTAGCTATGAAGTGTAATTCCCAAGATGAGCTTGAGAATAAACTATGGGTCCACCTCATGTTCTCACCTCTGCCTCTAACTTGACCAGTCCGTTCCTCTCAACTTCTCCCTTAGCAAAGTGGAGAAGATGTCCTGTGTGGGTTCAGAATGACAGTCCCTTCAGGATGTCGAGACCTCTGCTGTGGGATTGCCAAATTCAGCACCATTCAAGGTCACTCCACATGGGGGAAGAGTTGTTTTCAAGCAGACCCAACATGCTGAAAGTTCCTGTTGCCCACCACATAGGATCCTGGACCCAACCTGATCACAGATCTCTTGTTCGGGTAGAACTTTCAGGAGTCTGGTCAGATTGACACCACATCTTAGTTTTGAAGATAAAAGGGACATTGAGATTGTAGCGCTTCCTTCGGAAGTCTGTTGCACTATATACCCTTTTGGTCGAGGTGATCCACACTGCTAGGGTGGAGTCCCTGTATTGTCAATGAAACCATGTAACTAACACCTCAGCCTCCACAGAGAAGAGAAGCACCTGCTCACCCACCATGCCAACCTTCTCCAGACCTGAAGACCAAAACCCCCTGGGCTGCTGCTTCTCCATCCTCTGATCCAGTTCCTCTTACCATTTCTTGTAAGTCCTACACTTACCTCCAGGGTGTTCTGGATGCTCTCATCTGACTCTCCTGAACCACCAGGCCCTCTCCAGAGTAAAGAGGATGCATGTCCATGGTGGGTCTCATTAAAGTAGAATCTTCACTCAGACACATTCTACTCTACAACTGCTCTGGTTCTTACCTAGAACATGACTGGCATGTTGGCATATTTCATGCCCCCCAGCCCCAATACTTTAGGAATATTATATTAATGATAGTTTTCTCAAACTTTAAGGGAATAGGGAAAAAGTGCAGTAGAAACTGAAAACCTTCACTGTTTCTAAGACCAATCAGACTCCTTAGGCCTGCTCTAGATCAGATAGCCACCTCATTCAGACCGTGACCTCCAGGGCTATTTGTTAAATACACCATCCTTTTCTGAGTCTTCTAGTCCGTGTTCTTAGAATCATCAACCCAATTGTAGAGCCCTGAGTAATTTATATAACTCTATAGCTTACTGAGTAAACATGGAAGGATTTACAGAAACCTCCAATCTAGAACACTATTGTCATTTTCCTATTTGAAAAATCTCTTTGATAATTCCTTAGCACTAACCCAATAGGTCTTGAAGGAAGAGCCAAAATGGGGAGGGGAGAGACAGGGAAGTAGTTGATTCATTTCTGGAAGTTACAGATGAAACCAAGAAATCTGAACTTCCAAGGGTGGTTGCTCCAGGATGAGGCCAGTGACATTTATACCCTTAGTACATAGGTAACCCTGGAGGTGCGGGGAGGGAGGGTTTGATTTGGGAAACAGGTCCTAAGTTTGGTGGAAAGACAGCCACAGTCAGAGCTGTGCATAGCTTCTTTTGATCTTATCTCTTCTCTGCTTTGTCAGATGTTCTCTTATTTGAAGACATCTGGAGATAATATTTTTCCTTTGAGTATGTTTGAACCTTTCAAAGCCTATTCAACATTGTACCAAGTGGGGTAGGCAGCGTAGAAAGAAATCCATTTCATGGTGCCAGTATAGGATGTGGCCTGCTGGATGGCAGGTGACTCAGGTACACATTGATACATGTTTCTGATTTACATTTGTTGGAGATGTTACAATTGTTCACACCTCGGTAGGTTGGTTTCCTGCGTGTGGTCTGAATTATAGACTTCTAATGGTAAGTGCAGTGTCATGTCATTAGTGTGCCTAGCACAGTGAGATGCGTGCGGTGCCCGTGGGCGTGTGCTTGTATTGTGTAGATGTTCCGGAATTCCAGCTCTAGAGAAGATGCACATGAATAGAAATAAATCTCCACTTAGTAATACATACACAGGATTGCTACTTATATCAAAGCATGATTCAGGAAAGTAGATGATTTATGCATAAGTATTTATTAAGTACTGTTATGTGTAAGGCCATGTTCCAGGCTCTATGAGAGGAAGCAAAAATAGAAAAGGACATGGTGCCCCTACTCAAGGAACTTGCAGTATGACAGAGGAGGCATTCCGGCAAAAGGTAATTAATGCCATTCACCTTCATGTCACTTGCAAAAGACCAATGACTCAAGCATGAGAAAATCACCATCGCTTGCAAAAGAATTTTTCTGAATTGCCTAAAATTGTATACCTCTGCCTCTCAGATGTCCCCAGTGGCAGAAAAGGTGCAGGACCGATTCCATCTCCAGTGGAACAGACCAAGTCTGTGTGAGTTTCACATGTCTGGGGTTACACAAAGGTGGAACCCAAGTTCCCTACCTATAGTCCTAGTGGTAAATTGGCTTTTGGACGTGGGTTAAATTGCCTTCATGAACTCTGTCTCTGCTGAAGAAATAGAAGATCCTACTTATCATCTTAGACCAAGACAACTTGCATTTTGTCTTTTTTCAACTGGAACATGAAAGTCAAAATGAATAGTGTATGTCTTTTGTATCACATAACATTGCCTTTATGAAGATCCATAGGAAAAGATTTTTTTCTGGGTCTTGGTACCAGGGAAAGCTCTGATCCTAAGCAGGAAAGAAAATTACAAACACTGTGATTTTTATAACTTACTGCTTTTCTCTCTTTGTTCTGGCTGCTGGAAAGCTCAACAAAACATACAAGCCACCTCAACCAACTACCTAAAACCTATATTTGTTTAATCCTATTTCATTTCTTTGAAGATTACCCCAATTCCTATTTTTTAAAAGTCGTATGAACAAATGGACATTTTATTCTCTGACATCTTATCCAAGGCACTTTGGAAACTGGCTTGTATTCCCTGCCTACACTTGCTTTGTTACCCCCACAAATACCTCCAGTTCCTACCAGTGATTTTAATACACATACAACCTACCTTGTTTATAAATCTTCTTTAAAATGGAAACTTCACACATATGCTTAAGCTGTTCAGGGCAGCCTGCCCTGGGGGAGCAAGCATTAGACCAGAAGCCAAAAGGGACACGTTTTAGTCTTGTCACTATCGCTTAACCGAGTGTTGTTTGACAAACCTCAGCCTCTCTGGGCCAGTGTTCCTTAGCTGAAGAGACATGGAACTTGATTGCCAAGACTGCTCTGGCTCTAATATTTAGTGAGACAGCAGGGCGTGGTATAGGTGAGGAAGAGGTCATAAGACCAGGTAGCCCTCCTGGCCCACCGCTGCAGGCCGCATCCCAGGCTATACTTCATACTTTAGGAAGAAGGAGGCTGTGAGCAGCCCAGGAGCTTGCGCAGTGAGGAGAAAGACTCATCATTCATGTTCACCAGAAGGCAACTTGTGAAGCTCCTTGGTAGCCGATGGCAGGTAGCTGCAGTGAAGAAAGCCTGTATGTGAGGTCTCCTGCTCAGCAATGCACGAGACTCAGCTGTGAAGGAGCTGGGGCAGCCCCAAATGCAAGGCATGTGTGAGCAGCTTGCACAGCTGTTGGCTTTGGCCTCTGAGTGCATTCCAGGTATCAGTGTATGTCTCTTCATTGTTTTGTATTCACATTCACTTAGATGTCTTCTTGAAAACTTGTATGTGAAATAAATGTCTAAAATAAGTGACTCCTGTTGGTGTTTGCCATAATTTGAAGGAGGTGTTCTGTTAAGGGAAAAGACTACTATCCAAGAGGTCATAAAAGTGTATCCCAGTAGCTCTCTTAAAGAGTCTTGGTGTGATCCCAGCTCCCTGCTCTCCCCACAACACAGACTCTTTGTGAGTTCCCAGCTGTACATGTGCAGCAGCCCTTGGAGCTGTCTCCACCACTGTCCCAAGCATTGGCTCTGATTCTAGGGCGGAGTTCACCCCAGAAGCACATAGCTCATGTACTCTGAGCGAGGCCCCCACCCACAGCTTTTCCTGGTGGTGAACAAGTATCAACAATTTCCCCCAAAGATGCAGGATCCCCCAGTGTGGCTTTGGATTTACTGTTTTCATTCAAAGAGTTCCAGTGGTTTCCATTTCACCCTTGTTCCCCTAACAGTTTCAAATCCACAGGTCATAGAGCCAGTGTGGAGATTTTGCCACTTGGCAAGGATGGATTTCCAACTAAACTCACAGGCACTGTAGGAGGAGCCACAGGATGGATTTAGAGAGCCATCCACCTAAAGGTAGGGTAGACTGCATGCATCTCTCACCTGGGCTTTGTAAGCCTCTACTCTGTGCAGCCAGCTGCAGCAGTAGACCACAACCATTCACCCAAGGAAGTGAAGATGATGGCTTGCAACACTCACATGCACTGTTCTGTCAATGTTGTCCCACAAAGGCCTCCATTCCCTCACAGACATTTAGGTCTGTGAACTGAGCCAGGTCTGGGAAATTAGATGAGAGACTTCAAATCTCTAAGGGAAAAACAAAGTCTTAAGGCCTAAAAATTTTCAATTCCTATAAACCAGTTAAACTGATTAGACTTGAAGTGAGGAGAATGAATGTGTTTGTGTTTAAGAACTAAAAGGAATGTAGCTGGAAGGTGGGGAGTGGGAGGTGCAGGCTTCCAGTTATGGAATGAGTAAGTCACGGGATGACGGGCACAGCGTAGGGAACATCATCAGTAGTACTGTACTAGTGAGTGGTAACCGGGCCGTGTGGATACACTGGTGAGCATAGCACAATGAATGTACTAGAGCTGCCAAATCACTAGGTTGTATACTTGAAACTAACACTGCAGGCCAACTATACTTCAATTTTTTAAAAAAAGGAATATAGCTAGTCACACCCCCCAGACCCCATAATGAGTCCAAGGGCTTGAAAGGCAAACGATGCTTTGGGTTCAAGAGAGGTGAAGACCCAAACCCATTTGGAGATGGCAAAACCTGAGAATAGGGAAGAGGGGGCAAGACCCGAAAGCCTTTGGCCTTAAGGCATAAGATTGCTTGGGTACCTAAGCACAGAGCCCACAGAGCATGCCAGTGTATTTGGTGTGGAAACTGGAATTCTCAGTAAGGGACTCCTCTTCCAAGAACCTACCCTGTCCTGGACGAGTGTTACTCGGCACACACCACAAGTGGTCCAAGGACCACTCCCAACAGCAGCACCATGTGGCAGAGAGGCACATGGTGGCAACAGCAAGCACAAAGAAGCTAAGGCATGAAGGTAGGAGATGGGCATGCTTCTCTTTGGGACTGCTGAAACAGAGTTCTTGGACAGTGTGATGACAGATGCAAGAGTGCAACTCTTGGTGGGAAGTTGGTGGGCTTCCCACCAACACAGCATGTGAGGACTCAAGCCAATTCTGGTGAAAAGAAATGAATCACTACTCAAACCCTGGGTCTGGAGCAGCACATCCCTTGTTGGAGTAGAAAGAACACAATGTGTCCAAAATCCTGGATCCTAGTTGAGCTCTGCTGCTCCATCACACAGTGACTGAGTTAAATTATTTAGCTGCTCTGGGTTTTGGGGTTGGGCTGTGTGAGTGGTTCCCAAACTTTTCCGCTTTGAGAGGCCCAGAGAGGGTAGCTGGCTGAGGAAATATATATGTGCAAAGTCCATTTGGAAACTCTTTGCCAGGGGCTCCTGGATGGCTCCGTTGGTTAAGCACTGGACTTTTGGTTTCAGCTCAGGTCATGATCTTGGGGGCGTGAGGTTGAGCCCTGTGTTGAGCTTCATGCATGGGACCTGCTTGGGATTCTCTCTTTCCTGCTTCCTTCCCCTAGCTCTCAATCTCTTTAAAAAAGAAGAGAAAGATGGCTTCCCAGGGGAATTCTATCAAACGTTTAAAGAAGAAACCATACCTATTCTACTAAAGCTGTTTGGAAAGATAGAGATGGAGTACTTCCAAATTCGTTCTATGGGCCAGCATCACCTTAATTCCAAAACCAGACAAAGACCCCACCAAAAAGGAGAATTACAGACCAATATCCCTGATGAACATGGATGCAAAAATTCTCAACAAGATACTAGCCAATAGAATCCAACAACACATTAAGAAAATTATTCACCATGGTCAAGTAGGATTTATCCCCGGGACACAAGGCTGGTTCAACACTCGTAAAACAATCAATGTGATTCATCATATCAGCAAGAGAAAAACCAAGAACCATATGATCCTCTCATTAGATGCACAGAAAGCATTTGACAAAATACAGCATCCATTCCTGATCAAAACTCTTCAGAGTGTAGGGATAGAGGGAACTTTCCTCGACATCTTAAAAGCCATCTACGAAAAGCCCACAGCAAATATCATTCTCAATGGGGAAGCACTGGGAGCCTTTCCCCTAAGATCAGGAACAAGACAGGGATGTTCGCTCTCACCACTGCTATTCAACATAATACTGGAAGTCCTAGCCTCAGCAATCAGACAACAAAAAGACATTAAAGGCATTCAAATTGGCAAAGAAGAAGTCAAACTCTCCCTCTTCGCCGATGACATGATACTCTACATAGAAAACCCAAAAGCCTCCACCCCAAGATTGCTAGAACTCATACAGCAATTTGGTAGCGTGGCAGGATACAAAATCAATGCCCAGAAATTAGTGGCATTTCTATACACTAACAATGAAACTGAAGAGAGAGAAATTAAGGAGTCAATCCCATTTACAATTGCACCCAAAAGCATAAGATACCTAGGAATAAACCTAACCAAAGAGATAAAGGTTCTATACTCTAAAAACTATAGAACACTTCTGAAAGAAATTGAGGAAGACACAAAGAGATGGAAAAATATTCCATGCTCATGGATCGGCAGAATTAATATTGTGAAAATGTCAATGTTACCCAGGGCAATTTACACGTTTAATGCAATCCCTATCAAAATACCATGGACTTTCTTCAGAGAGTTAGAACAAATTATTATAAGATTCATGTGGAACCAGAAAAGACCCCGAATAGCCAGGGGAATTTTAAAAAAGAAAACCATATCTGGAGCATCACAATGCCAGATTTCAGGTTGTACTACAAAGCTGTGGTCATCAAGAGAGTGTGGTACTGGCACAAAAACAGACACATAGATCAATGGAACAGAATAGAGAACCCAGAAGTGGACCCTGAACTTTATGGTCAACTAATATTCGATAAAGGAGGAAAGACGATCCACTGGAAGAAAGACAGTCTCTTCAATAAATGGTGCTGGGAAAATTGGACATCCACATGCAGAAGAATGAAACTAGACCACTCTCTTGCACCATACACAAAGATAAACTCAAAATGGATGAAAGATCTAAATGTGAGACAAGATTCCATCAAAATCCTAGAGAACACAGGCAACACCTTTTTTGAACTCAGCCGCAGTGACTTCTTGCAAGATACATCCACGAAGGCAAAAGAAACAAAAGCAAAAATGAACTATTGGGACTTCATCAAGATAAGAAGCTTTTGCACAGCAAAGGATACAGTCAACAAAACTAAAAGACAACCTACAGAATGGGAGAAGATATTTGCAAATGACCTATCAGATAAAGGGCTAGTTTCCAAGATCTATAAAGAACTTATTAAACTCAACACCAAAGAAACAAACAATCCAATCATGAAATGGGCAAATGACATGAAGAGAAATCTCACAGAGGAAGACACAGACATGGCCAACATGCACATGAGAAAATGCTCTGCATCACTTGCCATCAGGGAAATACAAATCAAAACCACAATGAGATACCACCTCACCCCAGTGAGAATGGGGAAAATTAACAAGGCAGGAAACCACAAATGTTGGAGAGGATGCGGAGAAAAGGGAACCCTCTTACACTGTTGGTGGGAATGTGAACTGGTGCAGCCACTCTGGAAAACTGTGTGGAGGTTCCTCAAAGATTAAAAATAGACCTGCCCTATGACCCAGCAATTGCACTGTTGGGGATTTACCCCAAAGATGCAGATGCAATGAAACGCTGGGACACCTGCACCCCGATGTTTCTAGCAGCCATGTCCACAATAGCCAAACTGTGGAAGGAGCCTCGGTGTCCATCGAAAGATGAATGGATAAAGAAGATGTGGTTTATGTATACAATGGAATATTACTCAGCCATTAGAAACGACAAATACCCACCATTTGCTTCAACGTGGATGGAACTGGAGGGTATTATGCCGAGTGAAGTAAGTCAATCGGAGAAGGACAAACATTATATGTTCTCATTCATTTGGGGAATATAAATAACAGTGAAAGGGAATAGAAGGCAAGGGAGAAGAAATGTGTGGAAAATATCAGAAAGGGAGACAGAACATAAAGACTCCTAACTCTGGGAAATGAACTAGGGGTGGTGGAAGGGGAGGAGGACGGGGTGTGGGGGTGAATGGGTGACGGGCACTGAGGGGGGCACTTGACGGGATGAGCACTGGGTGTTATTCTGTATGTTGGTAAATTGGATACCAATAAAAAATAAATTTATTAATAAAAATAAAAATAATAAAATAATAAAATAAAAATAAAATTTAAAAATAAAGAAAAAAAATTAACCTAAAAAAGAAAGAAGAGAAAGAAAGAAGAAGAAAAGAAAGAAAGAAAGAAAGAAAGAAAGAAAGAAAGAAAGAAGAAAGAAAGAGAAAAGGAAGGAAGAGAAGGAAGGAAGGAAGGAAGGAAGGAAGGAAGGAAGGAAGGAAGGAGAAAGAAAGAAAAGGGAAGGAAGGAAGGAAAGAA